TGTTTTTTTAACCTTAAACCGCATAAACGCATTTCATTACACCAAATACACAAAATAATGTTCTTTTTAGCAGCATCATATGACCCCTTTAAAATGATTTAAATTAATCCAAAACAAGCATTAAAATAAGCTAAAACAACTAAAAATCAAGATATTTCTATGTACTCTTACCAAAAGTTTTTACTTTGAAAAAAAAACAAAAAACAGGGATCTCACAGTCGTGAAAATAATGAATAAGTGAGGAATATATGAGGTAGAGTGATTTTAATTTAAACCCAGAAAAAACATTTACATTAATAAAAAAAAAATAAAACACCGTTTTTATAATGAATATGAATTTTAGAAGTTATCCCAAGCTCTAAAATATTTTATCAAAATATACATACATATAGACGTAACATTACGCATGTAATTAAAATCAAAACAAGATACAACACATATTTTGAACCAGTTTGTTCTAATTATTTTACATTAGCCAAGCGTATATGAAAGTTTCATAAATCCAAATTGACAAGTCTTTTTTTTTTTATTCCTGAGCTTTTATTTTCTGTATCAAAGCAAGATTTTGTTTTAATGTCCTAAGCGCAAATACAAGTCCCTGTTTACTGTGTACACCTCCCACATTCCTGCTACCTTCAACGTCTTTTATATGGAGCTCAAAGAGGCACATCGTTGTGAGGTTGAGGGTGCGTTGAAGCCTTAATGCGATGTTAAAGGGACTTAACGTTTTAATGAGCCGACTTGAAAAGTGGGCCAGAGTTGTCTTGATATGAGCGTGGGTAAGAATGTTATTACATTCCCTGGGTGGCTTATCATATTTCACCAGCTAGTGATTGAAGTTAATAAATACATGGCCCTCTTAATGGTGCTTTAGAGAGCCTGATACTTCCTCTGATTAGCTGGGAAGGAAATATGAAGAACTGATAGACACAGAAAAAATAAGAGCGCCAAAAATAATTGATATTACTATTCTGAGAATATTCCAAGCCCACATTTACATGTATGAATATTTATGAGACCAAGGGTCTGCCGGGCCCTTCAAGGGGTCGACACGACTGGGCCAGATTGTTCCGCTCACCTCTCGCCACTCTTTGTTGCCAATGCCTTGTATGTACAGCACACAGACTGTGGAGAGCAAAGAGAGAGAGACAGAGATTGTGTTACACAAAGGCAAAGAATTTTTCAAATGCCAGAAGACCTGTGACACTCTTAACTCAGATGCACTTTGTGTAGTGTGTAATCTTATGGTCTACTGTGTTTGTAGAGAAACAGCTTAGAACCAGAGCGGTGGAATGCGATGATATAAAAATCTCACTGGATGAGTTACAAAGCTGTTGTAAACCAGCCAGTCCAAACCTCTATTCATTTCTTTCACAAAAGGAAATATTTTGAAGAACACTGGTAAGAAAAAAGAAAGTCTGCAGATTTATATAGGATACTGGTAACTAAGCAGATATTAGTGGTCTAGAAAAAAAAAATGGTTTTATTCTACATAAGGGTAGATACCCTTATGGTGATCACCATATTGAGATCACATGACCAGCTCAGTATTACTCAGTTTATCACAGTAACCACCCTATTAAATGCCACTTTAGATTTGTAGAATAAATCAATCCATGTCGTTGTTATGTATATTAGTGTGAATAGAGTATTTCTAAAGTGACATTTGAAAATGCTTGCTTTTGTATGATCGTTGCATCCACACCTGTAGATGTCACTGTAAAGTAGGATGGTGCAAATACATTATTAATGTATCATGATCCTTTTTCTCATGATATTGCATTGATAGTTTAGATGTGTGTATAATTTTTTTTTCTATTTACTCATGTGTGCATATTTCTTACAGTTCAAAAAAATATATATATGGCAGTTAGTGTAAAACATTCACTAATAATTATGTGGATTATTCGTACAGAAGAACTTCTCACACACATGCATTTGTTCTTAACTTTGTTCTTATGTTAATGAATTTGGAGTATCCTAAATCGGTGACCGCATGCTCGAGGCATAAGCATGTCTGCATTTTTATGCAGAGGAACCTCACAGCTGCACCCTTTCTTACTCTTTTAGTGTATGTGTATACATTATGAAATATATTTAAGATGAAATATACAGTAAGACGAATGATTCATTATGTTAAAAATGGAATCTTAACACATTTATAAGGCCTCCCAGAGTATGTTTTTTTTCATACATGTGTTTTCATTGTCTGTACATTTTTTCGTAAATTACAAAGGTTATTGTTAAAAGTTAATAAACGTATGGTGAAAAGCTGTGGATAGAGATAAGATAGCTACAAAATATGTGTGTGCAATGCAAAAACATGAAGCCTAAGGCTGAACTACTGAAACTTGCAACAGACAGTGGCAAAAATTTTTTTTGTTTGTTTTTTTTTTAATAACTGAGTGTGTGTACATTTTTCTATGTTTGTCATAAGGATAATGGTAACACTAAGAGACTGGGCCAAAAGTACTCAGCATAATTAAGATAGGGGCTCAGCACAAGTGCCCACTTGCATGAATGCAAGGACCCTGACAGTGGCCCAGAAAGAGCTGACGTCTGTTTAGCCCAGCTGATCATGAACAGGACCAGTAAACAAATGACAATAACATGAAAATAAAAAGACACTTAGAAAAACTCACGCATAGCTACTGCAATGCATGAAAGCAAAACAGGTGGAAAAGTGGACAAACAATCTGAAAGAAAAGAGAAAGCAGGCAAGAAATAAATGAAGCAGGACAGTAAGACAAGAACAAGCAACAGAAGTACGGAAATCAATACAGATAATAACAATAATAGCAGAGTGATTAAAAGCAGAGCTGTTCATTGTACCGTTTCCTGTTCACTACTGTCACACATACACACGGCACAAAAGAAAACATTAAAGACTTTCAGCGCTCATTGTTCTCGACATCAGAGAGTTCTTCCAGTGACTCAGAATTCTGTCTGATTCCTGTTTGCGAATACACACACCTGATCAATAAATCTAGAGTATTTTCCAAGATTTTGTGTCAAATTTGAATGAATATAGTAATAAAGTATAATAAAGTATGTAAGAATGTAGAAAATGAGTGGGTGAATGAGTGAATTAATATATGACTAAAGACATTAAAAAAAAGAAAATGTTTGCAAATGATTGAGAGATAAAGTGAATAATTGAGGAATGAATGAATTTAAGCAGATGTTGGGTAATTAATGTGTCAATGAAACAGTCAAGTAAATGAAATTAATATATAAATAATTGAATAAACAAGTGAAATGTGTTGAGTGAATGAATGTGAGAAGGTGAATGAGTAAGACAAATAAGTGTATAAATGAATCTTGAGCAAGTGAATGAATCAAAGAGTGACTGAATGGGTGAGCGAATGAGAGTATAGACAAGTGAATGAATGAGTGAGGGAGTGAATGAATAGGTGAGTTTATAAGCAAGTACAATAATGACTGATTAAGTAGGTAAGTGAATAATTGAGTGACTGTAAGTGTGAATAAATGTCAGTGTATAAATGTGTCAGAGTGAGTGAGAGAGTGAATGAATGAGTGACTGAGAAACAGTTCATGACAGGAAATTTAAGTAAGTCAATATGCTAGTGACTAAATTAATGAATGCATGAGTGAGTATGTGAGTGAGTGAACGAATAAATTGAATGAACGAATCAGTAAATGAAAATCCTGAATAATGAGTGAATTAATGAGAAGGAAATTATTATTGTACTTTAAGATCAAAGGATTGAAGTGTAAATGAATGAGTGCATAAACAAGTAAATTAATGTAGCAAGAGTATAAACTAGTGAGTGAGTGAGTGATTCAATGAGTGAGGGTGAGAGTGAATGAATGGGTGGGTGAGTGAGTGAGTGAGTGAGTGAGTGAGTGAGTGAGTGAGTGAGTGAGTGAGTGAGTGAGTGAGTGAGTGAGTGAGTGAGTGAGTGAGTGAGTGAGTGAGTGAGTGAGTGAGTGAGTGAGTGAGTGAGTGAGTGAGTGAGTGAGTGAGTGAGTGAGTGAGTGAGTGAGTGAGTGAATGAATAAATTGAATGAACAAATCAGTAAATGAAAATCCTGAATAATGAGTGAATTAATGAGAAGGAAATTATTATTTTACTTTAAGATGAAATGATTGAAGTGTAAATGAATGAGTGCTTAAACAAGTAAATGAATGTAGCAAGAGTATAAACTAGTGAGTGAGTGAGTGAGTGATTCAATGAGTGAGCGAGTGAATGAATGAATAAATGAGTGAGGGTGAGAGTGAATGAATGGGTGACTGAGAAACAGTTAATGACTGGAAATGTAAGTCAATAAGCTAGTGACAAAATTTATGAATGTGTGAGTGAGTATGTTAGTGAGTGAGTGAGTGAGTGAGTGAGTGAGTGAGTGAGTGAGTGAATGAATTAATAAATTGAACGAACGAATCAATGAATGCAAATGCTGAATAATGAGTGAATTAATGAGAAGGAAATTATGATTGTATTTTAAGATCAAATGATTGAAGTGTAAATGAATGAGTGTATAAACAAGTAAATGAATGTGAGTGAGAGAATAAATGAGTGAGTAAGTGATTCAATGAGTGAGGGTGAGAGTGAATGAATGGGTGGGTGAGTAAGTGAGTGAGTGAGTGAGTGAGTGATTCAATGAGTGAGGGTCAGAGTGAATGAATGGGTGAGTGAGTGAATAAATGAGTGAGTGAGTGAGTGAGTGAGTGAGTGAGTGAGTGAGTGAGTGAATAAATGAGTGAGAGTGAGAGTGAATGAATTGGTGGGTGGGTGGATGAGTGAGTGAATACATGAGTGAGGGTGAGAGTGAATGAATGGGTGGGTGGGTGAGAGTGAATAAATGAGTGAGGTTGAGAGTGAATGAATGGGTGGGTGAGTGAGTGAGTCAGTGAGTGAGTGGGTGGGTGGGAGAGTGAGTGAGTGAGTGAGTGAGTGAGTGAGTGAGTGAGTGAGTGAGTGAGTGAGTGAGTGAGTGAGTGAGTGAGTGAGTGAGTGAGTGAGTGAGTGAGTGAGTGAGTGAGTGAGTGAGTGAGTGAGTGAGTGAGTGAGTGAGTGAGTGAGTGAGTGAGTGAGTGAGTGAGTGAGTGAGTGAGTGAGTGAGTGAGTGAGTGAGTGAGTGAGTGAGTGAGTGAGTGAGTGAGTGAGTGAGTGAGTGAGTGAGTGAGTGAGTGAGTGAGTGAGTGAGTGAGTGAGTGAGTGAGTGAGTGAGTGAGTGAGTGAGTGAGTGAGTGAGTGAGTGAGTGAGTGAGTGAGTGAGTGAGTGAGTGAGTGAGTGAGTGAGTGAGTGAGTGAGTGAGTGAGTGAGTGAGTGAGTGAGTGAGTGAGTGAGTGAGTGAGTGAGTGAGTGAGTGAGTGAGTGAGTGAGTGAGTGAGTGAGTGAGTGAGTGAGTGAGTGAGTGAGTGAGTGAGTGAGTGAGTGAATAAATGAGTGAGGTTGAGAGTGAGTGAATGAATGGGTGGGTGAGTGAGTGAGTGAGTGAGTGAGTGAGTGAATAAACGAGTGAGGGTGAGAGTGAATGAATGGGTGGGTGGGTGAGTGAGCGAATGAGTGAGTGAATAAATGATTCGATGAGTGAGGGTGAGAGAGTGAATGAATGGATGAGTGTGTGATTGAGTGTGTAATTGAGTAATTTATTTGTATATGTGAAAAATGAGTCTGTTAGTAAATGAGTGAGTGAACTAATGAGAGGCTCTCCTCATCTGTACTTTTGAATTTAGATTACTCTGATATCCAAGGCCAAATGTGTGACATTTATATTTTCTCCTCAAAAGAACTTTTGTGGAGTTGGAGGCAAATATTACAATAAGCAGGCCGCCCACAGTGTGTCTATATCTGAGGCCCTGTGCCACATTCAGATCTGAAGCTTGGAGGCTTTACTTCACACAATCAGTGCGAGAATGCAAACAGAAGCAATGAGTCATGTGATTGTGTAAGCTTTCAGACAGTGAAGAAAGTCCCCTCTTAACGAGGCTGAAAGCAGTTGATTGTACTGCCATACATGAGGTCATAATAAACCATGGCATGAGAAATAATTTTCAAAGTTTGATAAGCATATTTCATGGTGCAGTATGCATTTGACCAACAAAGGAGAAAAAAATACATTCTTACTTGGATCTGATTTGGAAAATGTGTCCATGTCAAGCAGTTTTCTGTAAAAAGAAATTAAACAAAGAGTAATAAATATGCATGAAAACTGTATGACAGACAGACATCTCTCTCTCTCTCTCTATCTGTGTGTGTGTGTGTGTGTGTATGTGTGTGTGTGTGTGTGTGTGTACTGTTGGTGTTGGCACAAAAGGAGTAAAGGATTAAGGTAACTGAAAAATTTTTTACATTCTCCTTCATAACACACATACTAATATACCTGCTACATTTTCATAAGAAATATTTGTATGTGGAAAAATGAGAAAGACTAAATCATACTATTGAACATACTCTGTAATATGAAATTATATGCAAAGAATTATATATATATTAACCAGTTGTATCTCACTTAAAAGTTTTATTCAGCAAGGATGCATTGTTGAAATAAAGTGAGAGTTAAGACATTTTAAATGTTCTAATATAGTAAAGACAGTCCATTTCAAATAAATACTGTTCTTTTACATTTTCTATTGATTGATTAATTGATTTTATTTCCCAGCAGTTCAGCTTATTCCTTGACTTTACACATCTAAAGCCTAACATGCAGCACATTGTTCCACTTGTGTCTTTTATTTAACAAATGCTGTTCATGAGAGCTAAAAATATTAGTATCAAAAGCAGGCAAAAATATTTACTAATATTAATTATTAAATAAACTGTTTTATTTATTACTGTGATATGTTTTAAAGGGTTGTGTATATATCTTAGCTGTAATGCCAAGATAAAATCCTGTGTTCAAAATGTTAGCCTGCTCAGTACAACAGTGTTTTGAAATATAAAAGTAGATTTTTTTTTGGATGCAAGTATTAGCATTTTTCTTCAGCTATCCTAAGTTTCATTACCTTTTAAATTTTAATTGATATTTATCTGTAGGTTGTTTCCTAAAATGTAACATTAATCACATGCTGAACAAGTGTCATCACAATAGCTTGTTCATGATTAAAGAAATACTAAAATAAATTAACACATTACAATTGCCCTTCTGTTACACTTTCCCCCAGTCTCGTCTCCAGAGTTACTTTAATAGCAAATAGAAGATGTGTCTTGGCCTACACAAGCTAATTATGACACACTAACGAAAACGTCTCCAGGTTACGTGTGTAGCCATGGTTTCTCGAAGGGAACAAGACGCTGCGTCAAAACGCCCCGGCGAGACCACTTTCTGAAGCATGAATGAAATCAGTCTAATAGAGAAGCGAGACGTCATGAGCGGGGTGACTTGAGCAACCAGGAAGTATAAAAGTGCATCCAGCAAATGCACATGTTAGCTTCTGCAGAAGCGAGCGCCTGCAGGGATGCAGGGAGTATGGCAGAAAGACGCAGCGTCTTGTTCCCTTCAGGGAACCATGGTTACATACGTAACCTGGAGACGTTCCCCTTCAGGAACTGAAGCTGCATCGAAACGCTTTTGGAACGAGTATACCCACTGCGCCATACAAGCAAGTCCCTGTCAAGTGTGTATCTGGTGAGCATATCAAGACGAGAGAACCTGGGACCCTGGAGTGGATGTCAGGTCCAAACTGTAGAATTGGACAAATGTGTGTGGAGAGGACCAACCTGCCACAGCACAAATGTCTTGAAGGGCCACGACCACTGATAAAGCCTTGGAGGCCGACATACTCACAGTCGAGTGCGCTCTGACCCCGACGGGTGACTGGAGGTCAGAGGACTCGTAGGCCAGTGTGATGGTCTTGACCACCCACCTACTCATAGTTTGCTTGGTCGCAGGAGCCCCTTCTTTAGGCGGACCAAAACAAACAAATAACTGATCTGCCTTACGCCACTGGGCAGTTCAGTACTCGCACTGGACAAAGCAGATTGAGTCTTTCCTGACCTGCTTCCTGGAAGGGAGGAGGACAAAAGGTTTGCAGTAATACTGTACAGGACTCGGCGGAGAAGTGGGCACCTTAGGGACATACCCGGGTCTCGGGTAAAGGAATGCCCTAACCATGCTCGGGGCAAACTCCAGGCACGAAACAGCAAGTGCCTGAAGATCCCCTATCCTCTTCAGTGAGGATATGGCGAGTAAGAAGATCGTCTTCAGCATGAGCAGCTTGTCAGAGATATCTTCAATGGGTTTGAAAGGAGCATTGCACAAGGCCTCCAGAACCACCGCCAAGTCCAATGAGGGCACCTTGGTGTGCTGTACTGGCCTCAGCCTCAGGGTGCCACGGAGGAAACGTGTAACTAACGGGTGTCTTCCCAACGACTGACCAACCAGGAGGGTATGGTAAGCAGCTATGGCTGCCACATAAACCTTCAGAGTGGAGGGAGATAACCCTGCGGAGAAGTGCTCCTGCAGAAACTCCAGAACTGTACCAATTGGGCAGTTGACTGGGTCTTGCAGTTGCTGTCCGCACCAAGAAGTGAAAAGCTTCCACTCCAAGGCATACAGTTTTCTCTTGGCGGGAGCTCTGGACTGGAGTATGGTCTCAACAACCTCAGTTGAGAGACTGAGGCACATAATGTCCCCTTAGGTCTGGAAGAAAGTGTTCTAGAGCTCGAAACACAGCCAGCATTTCCAGACAGTTTATGTGCCACGTGAGATGATGGCCTTCCCACTGACCTTGGGCAGAGTGGCCACTCATGACCGCTCCCCAGCCCGGGAGGGAGGCATCCGTCGTTAGCCTTACATGACGACAAGGAGCCCCCAACATCGGGCCTTGAGACAGGAACCAAGGTTTCTTCCACATGTCTAAGGCATGTAAGCATCGCCACGTGACCTTGATCGTGCAAAGCGGGTTCCCCCTCGGGGAAAACCCCTTGGCCCTGAGCCACCACTGCAAGGGTTTCATGTACAGCAGGCCAAAAGGTATAACGTTGGGCGCAGCTGCCATCAGATCCAACAGTCTCTAAAACTGTTTGACAGTGAATGACTGGCCTTCTCTCACTCCCCTCACGGCTGTGAGAATCGCTTCGATACGGGCAGGGGACAACTGTGCCTGCATCATTGTTGAATCCCACACCACGGCCAGATAAGTGACCCTCTGTAGTGGAGAAAGCACACTTTTCTTGGCATTTAGCCGTAACCCCAGCTCTTTTATATGGGCGAGGACGACATCTCGAGCCGAGCCGCCATCTGCTCTGACTGAGCTAGAATCAACCAATTGTCGATGTAATTCAGTATGCGGATGCCCTGGAGTCGCAACGGAGCCAGGGCAGCATCCACACACTTTGTGAAAGTGCAGGGTGAGAGTGACAGGCTGAACGGAAGAACCCGATACTGCTATGCTTCGCCCCCGAAAGCAAACCTCAGGAACTTCCCGCGTTGAGGAAGGATGGATATGTGAAAGTATGCGTCCTTGACATCTATCGTGACAAACCAGTCCTCTGACCTGATTTGAGACAGGATCTTTCTGATAGTGAGCATCTTGAACTGAAACCGTTTGATAGCGTGGTTCAAAAGATGCAGATCTATGATCGGACGCAACCCCCCATCCTTCTTCGGAACGATGAACCCTGACTCTCTCGAGAGAGGAGGAACACGTTCTATGGCCTCCTTCCTCAAGAGGGTGTCTACTTCTTGTTCCAAAACCAGAGCCTGCTCGGGGCCTACTAATGTAGGAACGACCCCGTTTAAGCGATGTGGACTAGAACCGAACTGAATTCTGTAACCTCTCTCTACAGTGTGCAGGACCCATTGTGAGACATTTGACAGAAGTTTCCACACTATCAGAAAGTCTACTAAGGGAACCAATCTCTCGACCAGTCTTTCTTCGGTGCCCTGAAGCGGATGACCGGCAGAGAACAACTGACCTGACTGCTCTAGCGCCCTCAATTGAGGGGACAAGCTTTCCTATGCCGTACCGTCGCCGGGCAGCAGCTGGGAAATTTGCTCATCGGAGCTCACTGAGCCCTGAAGCACCGGGGGTGGCAGGGGTATCAGTAAAGCTCCCTGAGGGCATTGAGGAGGATCGGGCACCCTATACTGAGGTGTGTACCTCTCCTCCCCAGGGTGGGCTGCCCTCAGAGTCCTGACGATGGAATTAGTCAGGACCGCTTGGCCGAGGTCCTCTTCGACAAAATAACGGTCCACTGATCCGCTTTCTGCTAAGAGGACCCCGACCGAGAGCACCGCACCGCCCACGATGCTCTGCTTCTGGGTCTTGTGATATGAGGAGCTGGACGGCTGGGACTGCTCCCGCTCAGCAGTCCCAAAGTCCTGGGAACGGCGAGGGAGGAAGCGCTGGAATGCCGCCGCCTGCTTCTTCACCTCCTGAAATGTCTCAACGACAGTGTCTACTGCGCCGCCGAAGAGGCCAGAAGGCAATAGCGGGGCATCCAGCAGGAAGACTCTGTCCTTATCTTTTAGCTTGGACAGATTCAACCACAGGTGCTGCTCCGTGGCCACCAAAGCTGCCATTGAACGAAGCGACAGGTCTGTGGCCCGACGCAGTTCGGCGACTATGTCGGATTCCTCTTCCCCCCCTATCATCCAGGTCTTTTAGCAGTTTGGCCTGGTACGCCTGCAACACCACCATAGTGTGCAGACACGCACCGGCCTGATCTGCTGCCCTATAAGCTTTCCCAACCAGGCTGGATGTCAGCTTTACTGCCCTGGTGGGAAGCTTTGGGGCCTTCAGGGATGATGCTGAGGACGGGGAGAGATAGCTTGCGAGCGTCTGCTCCACCGCCGGCATCGCCCCATATCCCTTCTCATTCAGCCCCATAATGTTAGAGTAGTTCTATACAGTGGGTACGAAAACAGCCGCCGCTGTGCCACGGTAACAGCGGGGCTGGACCCAGTAGGATCGCGAACCTGGTCGCTTTCATCGAAGACGGCCAGGCGGGAGCGGAGCACACAGAGCGGGAGAAGATCACAATCATGACAGTCATCCCCCTTGAGAGCTGACTTTGCATGCTCCGCTCCCAAACAGACGACGCACAAATCGTGTGTATCCCCACCCGAAATATAGCGTGGGCAGGGAAGAACACAAGACTTGAAAAGACTTTTGACATTTTCTCTGGACTGTGCTTAATACTTTCTTTCTTTCTTTCTTCACAC